ATAATAATAATAATAATAATAATAATAATAATAACAGTGAGATGGAATTACCGAAAAAAGGTCGTGTTGTGGTCTTCACAGACTCTGACGGATTTAGTGAATCCGCATACATATTGTCAAGATTACGTGTATTAGATGTACTCTTTCATGATATCTCTTCAAAACTTCAGAGAAAGTATAAAATTGAAAGTATAGAAATGGAAATCTCACATACACTGGCGAGTCTTATCGTTGAAGAAACAGAGAAACCTTCTTTTTTCTTTACTCTTATGCGTGACTTTATAGACTTTCTATATACAGGTGATATGAGAAAGTTTACGAGGGATTCCGTCTGTTATTATGGGAATGGTACCTTCACCAATGCTGATGATGATGATGATCATATGAATAATAATAGTAGTAATATTAATAATAATAATAATAATATTAATATTAATGAGAAGGAAGAGATGGATAATAATGAAAAGGAGTTTGAATTGCTTCTCTTTACTCTTTTTAATGCTTCCCCGCACCGTATGGCGGTTGCAAGAGGAGTTCGTGAGGTCCTTCGTTTATGGGAACCTTATATGCTACAAAATAATAATAATAATAATAATAATAATAATAATAATAATAATAATAATGAGGAAGAAAATGATGACTTTCTTATTGTATTAAATGAACGTTCTTTACAAAGGAAGGATGAATCTATGGAGAATAGTTTTCCTCTTTTCGCAAATTCTATCTTCTTTTTACTGCTATTCTTATTATTATTGTTATTACTACTGTTTCTTGTCGTAGTTATTGGTTTTCTTATTCCATGTCTATTGGGAGAGAATGGGTCCTATAGGTTTGTTTCCGCAGCCTATGGAGAGAAGGAGAAAAGAGGGAAGAAACATCGATGAGTCTATACAGTTCTGCTACAACTTCTCCTATTGATATTATATGTATTTCTTTTTTTTTTTTGGTTAGTTTTTCGTTTTGGAGAGTGGAAGTGACTTTTTTTCTGTGTATTTTTATATGAATATTGTTATTATTATTAGTGTGCTTCTAATATTTGGGTTTCCTATTTTGTTGTTCTTGTTGATGTCAGTAAATCATATATTTTTTTTTTTTAATACCCAACATTACAATATATATATATCCTCTCTTCTATTCCCTGTGTATATATATATATATATATTTTTTTTTTTTTTTCCTTTCTTTCCTTCTTTATTATACATATATACATACATACACATATATACAAGGAGTTAGGACGCATCTTTTAAATAACACCAAACAACAACGAAGAAAAAAACAAAAAAAAAAAAAAGAAACCATTCTATTCTATTCTTCTTATTCTTATTCTATTCACAACTCACACAGAGTGATGTCGCACACACATGCCAAGCGGGCCTCACGTGGTTCTGTGAAGAATGCGGTGCGTATTCCATACACATCCTCCTCGCCCTTCACACTCTCCGCAGCCGCGGCCGAGAGTGAAGGTACACAATGGCGGAAGTCCAGCCGCCTTCTCTCACGAGTGGCCTCCGCAGTGGCGCAGAGGATTCTTCACACCCCGCGGCCCCCATTAAAATACGGCGATATTCTCCGCGATGTGCCCTTTCACACACACAATCGAATGGTTTCCTTCTTTTCCACACATGCCTCTTTCTGTGAAGATGAGTTTGGTGTTTCCCATGCCCAGTGTCTACGCTTCACACGAGGTCCATGGATGGGAGAAACGGCCATTGTGATTGGAGCCCGCGGGGGGAATTTGTGGGTGATGAGTCGTGATGGTCCCAACATTGCGTTTCCATTAAATCCGGTGGAAAAACACAAATGGGAAAAGGTGGCGGTGGAACCGGAGTTGGTGCAGCGACTACGTGAGGGATTAGAGGCGGCACGCAGAGATGTGGAATTGGATTACACCACAGAGCAGCAGGAGTTTCTGCAGAAGGCACCGGATTTGTTTATAGAAGTTGTGGATGACTCGGAAAGGGAAATATTCACTTCGGATATGCGGTGGAGTATGCGAAGATACACGAAGGAGGCTAGAGAAAATAATAATAATGATGATGATAGTAATAGTAATAGTCATAATAATGATGAGGATGATGATGATCATAGTAGTGTTGGAAATGCTGTTGAACGGTCTCACAGTCGTGTAGATGCTGAGAATGTGGAGGGGAATAATAATAATAATAGTAATGATAATGATAATAGAAGTGTTACTCCTGCCATGAGTGAGAGTAAAAAAAGTAAACGTGTGGTGATTGTACCGCAAGTAGTGCAGTCAACAGGTGATCTTGGTTGGGCTGGTGAAGGCATTGTGGTAGTGAATGGCGGTGGTGTGGAGTCATTCGCCGCCTCTCTCTCTGCTTCTGTACTATTGTAGAGATATATGATATGATTATATATATATATATATAATAAACACTGAGAAGAATAACGGAAAGGAGAAGGAAGAGAAGAATTGGATGTGTCCTACCCAGTAAACTTTATAGATGTAGTAATGGAATTTGATAGAAGGAGAGAGAAGAAAAGAGAGAGAGAGAGAGAGAGAGAGAGAGAGAGTGGATGAATGAATATGCTTTACATGTATGAATTCATTGTATTCACTTAACTGAATCTTTCTCTTTGATTTTCTCATCTCTTGGTAAATGTTGCTGAGTATCCTTTATATTATTTCTTGTACGTTTGTGATATTATTGTGGATGTTACTTTGTTTCCATACTGGTAAGCGCAACGGTGTGATGATAGATTATGAAAAAAAAAAAAAAAAAAAACCCTTCCATTTGTTTTTACTATGTGCAGTAATTCGTTGCAGAATTACATGTAAATTAAAAGAATATCTATTTAATAAACAATAGTTTCTTTTTTTTTCTTCTTCTTTCTTTTCTGTTTTATCTGTTTTTTTACTTTGCTGTTTTCTTATTCCCTTTTTTTTTTCTCTCCCCCTCTTCTTGTTCTTATTCCTGATATTTTCAGAAATGCACTTTTCATCAAACACACAAACGAACGCACGTACACACTAAAATATATACTGACACAGAGTAGAAACACCTTTTTCTTTTGTTGTTTCTCTTCCTTTCTGAACACACACACTGTACTGCACGGTATTATTTTCATTAATAGTGAGATAGAAAGAGAAAGAGAAAGAGAAAGAGAGAGATATCATTCATGCGGCATCTTCGCTTGACAACGGCATGTCTTGTTGTCATTGCGCTGCTGCTGTTATTGTTGATATCACCATCCCCACAGCCAGTGGTGGCTGATCCCTTCTTTTATATTGCGGAGGCCTCACAGAAACGCACGCAGTTTTTGGATTTAATAAGAACAACTTTACCGCGGCCAAAGGAACATGCAGAGCGGACAACATTCTCTGTTGATTTCTATAATGCCCTGCAGTTATTGCGAATTCCCCGACGTGGAACTTCAGTCGTGGAGTTTGCCGAATCGCAAGTATTACTGCAGCCAGAACGGGAATTAGAAGGAAAAGAGGCAACGGCATTATTAAAAGAAAAATCAGATGATGTTATCATTGATGAGATCTTATCTATTCCACTTTCTACACAATCAAGTTCGGGAGATGTATCTAATAGCAACAAGAACAATAACAATAACAATCCATCAAGTAGAAATATGGCTACTAATACAAATAGTGATGGAACGAATATGTATTCTAGTGCGGAGTCATTTTGGGGTTTTTTACGTGATAGTTTACTTTCCAAAAGTAAACCAAATGTACCTTATTCTATTCCTAAACCACGAATGTATGATTTACCTAGACGAATGGCTAAACACCCACCAACATATGGATGGCGTCGTTTTTATATTGCCCTCAATCTTTATAATAATGAGGCTACCATTCCTTTTCTTACAGGGGCATTAGTGGCATTTATAGAAGATGAACTTGCTCCTTTTTTTGATATTTCCACATCTGTCGTAGTTTCTATCTTTACAAATGATTCTAAAGATCATACGGCGTTGTTAGTAAAAAAATTATTAATTCCACGACTACAACGTGCAGGTGTACGAAATATATTTGCAACTGTTACGGGTACTTGTTATACTTATAATAAAATACCAAAGTGGATGCAACGTATTGAATGGATGGCATGTGTGCGAAATAAGGCGTTGGAACCATTATATAATTGGGGTATGCAATTATTTTCACCAGACTTCTACACTTCCTCAAGGGAGTGTGAAAAGAATCAAAATTGTACAAGTGTAAATGCATATCTTAATGAAATGATGTCTTTACGGCGGTATAAAATGAGCCGTAATGATGAATATTTGAATAAGAGTGCGAGTGATGTTAAGAATTCCTCTTTTACTGAAAAGTATCCTAATAATAATAATAATAATAATAATAATAATAATAATAATAATAATAATAATAATAATCAAAAAGGATCTACGGGATTTTCAAAATGGGATAATAATAATGTACATGATGATCCTGATGGCGATAATATGGTGGTATTGTTTTTTAATGATATCTTCTTTCGTCCAGAGGACATCACAACACTATTGGAATCTGTAGAAGAACCCGTTATTGCTGCCCGTAGAGAATCCCATGGAGTGATGGAAGGAAATCCACCCCCGCAATCCACATTAAGGAGGGAAAAAGGAAAAACGATCGGCACTACTTTTGATATGGCTTGTGGAATGGATTTTTATTATAGTTTCTATGATCGATGGGTCTCACGTGATCGCTTTGGTAAACCGTTTTCAGGGCATATGCCTTATACAGATGAACCAGAAACACAAGCGGCATTAGGTCGAATTAGTGCACATGCGGGAACTGCACATGGGAGGAAAGAGGCTATTCCGGTAAAGTGTTGCTGGAATGGAGTTGCGGCAATTCGTGGAAGACTTTTTCTTTCTCCATTAAGTATGAAAAGAAATGTAGGTGATACTGAATCTACACCTCATAAAGAACCTCAAAAACAACAACAACAACAACAACAGGAAGAAGAAAAAGAAAGAAAAGAAGGAGATAAACGATATGGGAATATCACGGTTGAACTAGATGGTGTTGCGTATACTCTAGATGATGAGATAAAATTATGGAAAGGACAGAGATACCGCTATGCACCGGAGGCACACAAGCAGGTAGTAAATCTTTATTATTTAATTCTGCTTAAACGATTATCTATTCTTCGAGAGAAATGGGTACATACGGTGCGGAGAATATCTAAAGACACGGGATTGTATTTACCATTATCAGATATTTCCATATCCACATCTGCGCTTCGTGCAGAATTTGGAATAGAAATAACTTCTTCTTTATCCAGTAATCACTCCACTCCTACTGGGATCGCTGAAAAAGATATTGGAAGTTCCATTTATTATCGTGCGGTTGAACCCGGTATTCGATTTCGTCATGCCTTATTACCATCTTTTGGGGCCACTGTAGAAGGAAAACATACGGTACAAGATGATGTTTGTGTCTCTTCTGAGTGTTTATTAATTTGTCAAGATATTATGCATGCGGCATTATTGGAAGGTCGATCTCCTGTTATTTTAATGAATCCAAATGTTCGAGTGGCTTATGAATCCGCACACTTTGATCGAGTAACAGGATGGATGCATAATTCATACTTTTTATTTTCACTTTTTTCTTGGCTTCGTTATTTCTTTTTATGGTTCTATCCTTCTTTTAATTATCAAGAGAGTGGTGGTATTAATAGTAATAGTGATAGTGGTATTTCTGTTGGTGTATCCACTTCCGCTGCTGATGATTGGACGGCGGGAAATTACAATCGTACGGCTATTATTGCCCATACATATCCTGGCGGGATTATACGATCCCGTTTAGTTAATATTACCCGTGCCTCCCTAATGCTTTGTTATCTCCCAGAAGAAGAAAGTACATTGAATTTATTAGCAATTTTCTTTACTATTCTAATATTAGGGATTGCTTCTATGAAAGTCCTTGGAAAATGTTTTAAACCCATTTTCGTTATTCATGCATCTCTACAACGAAGATTAATCTATAGTAAAGGTATACATGCGATGAGAAGATTACGGTGGTACTTTATGCGTGCCCTTTTGCATCCTCGCGGTAAAATTGCTTTTGGTTGTCCACGTTTTGTGTCTCGTGCAATTCGTTGTGTTTTACATTCTCCTTTAATACAGTGCTTTACTTGCTGTGAACCTATAGAGGATGGAGAAGTGGTTCTTCTGTAAATAAATATATATGTATATATGTATGTATGTATACATATACTACAATTTTTTTTTTGTTTGGTTTGTTTGCTTTTCCAATTATACCTACTGTGTGGGCTCTTGTTATTATTATTATTATTATTATTATTATTATTATTATTATTATTATTATTATTGTTCGTTTACGTTTATATATTGATACGATCGGTATATTTGCATCAATCTGTTTTTATTTGCGGTGAGTTGAGCGATTTTTGGATAATGTAGAGTTTTAGAAATAAATGAAATGAACGAAAGAATTGCGATTTGTATTATTTCTTTTTTTTTTTTTTCATTGGTGTTCTAATGAACACAAAAGACGTATATATCAAGTATTAAGATGATATATATATATTCATCCGTTTACGGGTATACTTTCTCCATCAATCTCTCTCTCTCCCTGTGTGTGTCTGTCTGTGTCTGTGTGATATATATATATATATATATATGGTTGTATTTCTTCTTTATATACTCTGTTCTTTATTCTTTTTTTTTTTTTTTGTTTCCCTTGTGCCTATTGAAGTCTGTATAGTGGGAGGTGTCTCTCACCTTTTTTACTGTATTAAAGAATGCGTTATCGACAACGCAATGTACAGGAATCAGAGAAAACGAAAATAAAAAAGTTGTTTAACTCCAATGACGCGTTAAGTACACATGAACAAGAAGAAGTACTGAAGTATCTTGCAAACTCTCTACACTCTAGTGTGATGTGTGTGCGAGTACTCGCCGTACTGCAGTTACTTCTCGGTATCTTGTATGTATGTTTGTTAGCGGCGGGGTATCCATTAGTGTATGCGGTGTTTGATGAGGCCCTCACTCAACCCTTTACAACGACAACCTCCACATCTTCCTTTAAACTCTTAACAAAAGAAGGGGCGGTGGCCATCACACTTGCAGCCTTTTTTTTATTTTCCGGTGGTTTAGGGGTATTACGTGCCTGTCGTCGTACACTTTGTTTAGATGTAGAGGCTCTTCTTCAGGGTTCTATAGTAACAACATCAACATCATCATCTTCTTCTTCTTCTTTACATATGAAGCATAATAAGAAGAATGATCGTGTGTGGGAATGGTGGGTTGTGGGAGATACACCGCGGCGTCAGTACACATTGGCTTTTCTTTCACTATGGCCTTGTGTCTATTGGTTGTATGTTATGCATGCCTATCACAGACATCTTGCTCAGAAAGAAGGGGTCATGTTTAGTCTAACGGATAATTGGATGGAGTTTGTGTTGGTGCTTTGGCAGCCGTTTATGCATATTATTATTGGCAGGATGCTTAGTTCTACCATTACTGGAAGAGAAGATCTCATACGTCTGGCGAAGATGAAATATCAATATGATAAACTCTAATTTATGCATGGGGAACACACTTTTATTAGCAAGAGGGTATAATGTTAATATTGAGAGGAATATATATATATATATATATATATATATTCTGTTTGTGCTATTTTTCTTTTTTTTTTTTTTTTGGATTTCCTTTTTTCAATTTTTCTTCTTTTTTATTTTTGCTAATGTGTATTCTCTTGTTCTTTTTCTTTATCGCCATTGCTGTTATTATTATTATTATTATTATTATCATTATTATTTTTTTCCTTTCTTTTTTCTTTACTTTTATTACCATTGGAGGAAAGAAGGAAACGAGTGAGTGAAAGAAGAGACAATTGGGCAATGGTGGAGTCCAGCAATAGTGAGAAGACACGGAATAACAAAACACATGAAGGGAAAAAAGACCACAAAAACTACAGCGTAAAGGGAAATGAGGGGAAACATAAAAATCAATCGACTTTTTCGCATAAACGTGTGACGATCACTAATAATAATAATAATCATAATCATAATAATAATAATAATAATAATAATAATAATAAAAAGAAGAATGGAGGCAGACGTCCAACGGCAGTGGAGGAAACGGAACGTTATGTTGTAGTGATTACAAATGTGGAGAATGACTTTGCAAAGGTCCATCGAGAGGCCATTCCACGTTATTGTTGTCTAAATGAACAACACTGCCATTCCCATCAACTCTCTGGATCCTCCTCTTTAAATGGAATCACATCAACAACAACAACAAGGCAGCAGTGTCGATATACCGTTACTCCGCGTACAGAGACGCGATCGGTGGAAGTGGCGGTGTATGGAAAAGCGGATGGTGATGTCTCGACTGTCTTTCTTCCTGTTCGCACGAATACTCATACAAACACTACTAGCAGTAATAATCATAGTCATCCCAATAGCAACAAGGAGAAGAAGAAGGATGGAGAGATGAATATATATAATGATCCTACAATGAAGGAGGATGAAGAGGAGGATAACACTGTGATTGAGTGTGTGAAGCCACCAGTGGGAAGAGAAGATACTCTCTTCGCAACACTGGAGGATATGACGATGGCCCTTCGGCATAAACCTTACTTTACACATCCACCAAAGTTTTTATTAAATGTGGCTGGTAAAGATGATGGAGATGTGTTGCGGGAGTGTAAACGAAGTAAACGAGATCAGGCAAAACAGCAGAAACATGCTGATGAAGATGATGATGATAATAATGATAATGATGATTACGAAGAAGATGAAAAGAAGAAGTCTGTAAAGAAAAGTGATGATATGGACTCTCCGCATCTCCGCCAAGCTGCAGTGCGACAGGCCGATATGATCACGGCTGTAGCCACCACATCTGCACGGATGAGCACAAAAGATATGCAGTATCAACTACGCGATGTACCCGGATTTATTACGTGTTGGATGTTATATCCACAGCACTTCCGTGTGGTGTTTGCAAGCCAATCAACACTGTTTAAAGCCAAACAACTGCTTGATCAGTTCGCCGTGGACGGGAATGTGCGGGTGGGACTCACATTGGCAGATGCCGCAGCGAAGGAGTTCACTGCATACATTACGGCACAGGAGGATACGGCGTGAAAGGTGTGACATGAATAGAGAAGAAGGAAATAAAAAAGAATAAAAATAGTTTCTCTTTCTTCTATATATATATATATATATATATATTCATCTCTTTCTTTCTCTCTGTGTATATGTGTATGTGTTTTGTGTGTGTGTTTAGGGCCTATTACTCTCTGTGAGTCTTGAAGGTATATATATATATATATATATATATATATATATATATGAATGGTGAATAAAGAACGTTTAACGAGTGAAGTGGTGGTGAGCTCCGCTTTTTTTTTTTTTCTGTTTATTGTTTTCTTCCTTATATTCTTTTTTTTTTTTTGTATGGTTTTCTTCTTCTTTTTTCTTTTGTTTTTTTTTATTGGTTTTGTTCTCTTTTTTTTTTGATGTTCTTCTTTAGTTAGTTGGTTCGCCGCTGAGTGTGTAACTTGACAAAAAAAGAAAAAGAAAAAAAAAAGAGAAAATCAAGAAAAAAAAGAAGTATGAGGAAGAAAACGTAAAGTAAAAAAAAAAAAAAAAACGAATTCACTACTGTTCTACACAGCACAGGCCATATTGCCATTTCTTATTATTATTGTTATTATTATTAATCTTTTTTTTTTATGTCTGATGTTTCTCATATCTTATCATTGTTTTTCCTTTTTCTTTCTTTTTCTCTTTCTCTCGTTATGGCTTTCACTGTCTTGTTTATATATATATATATATATATATATATANACTTAAAAAAAAAAAAAAGAAAAAAAAGAAGAGAAAAGATGGCAAGACGGCAACGAGTACCGCGCCATAAAGAACACCGGCGGAAACGAAATAAAAATCCCAAATTGTCTCCTTTTCAACGGGAACAACAACGGGCCAAACTCGCCAATCAACCACCGATTACATCTATTAAAGGTAGTCAACGGGATTATCCCGTTAATCAGAGAGGAGTGATTCAGTATCTTATGGCCAAACGAGAGCGGCAACTGGAGAAAAAGCGATTACGAGAAGAAGCAGCAGCAGCAGCAATAGCTGCTGCAGCAGAAGAGGAAAAAGAAAATGAAAAAGTGGAATTAACAGAAAATGAGGTTGGAAGTAATACATCATTAGATGAAGAGACGGTGAGTTGTGGTTCATCTTCTGCTTCAGACTCCATTCTCCAAGATGATGAGATGGAAGAGGAGAAAAAGAAAGAAGAAGAAGAAAAAAAAGCCCCTAAGAAAAAGAAAGGAGGTGTAATGAAAAAAAAGAAATCTCTAGAAGAAGAAAAGGAGAATGCGAATGAACCATTAGTATCCAAGAAAAGTAAAAAGGAGAGTCTTTCATCCAAGACAAAGAAAACTTCAAAACCAAAACCAGTAGAGATAGTAACATTAAACGATCAATTTGCCGCGACACTAGCCCCTCCCATTGCGGCCTTCCGTACACAAACCGATAGTCAAGCGGGTGGTGATGGAAGTCAGCAGGAAAACAATGCACAAACCATCATTGCAAAGAAAAAAGAAAAGAAACATCGTAAAAAGGTAGAAGCAAGAAAAGAACGTGTACGACAAATGTTGATTGAGACAGAGAAACAATTGCAGGATCAGTTATCGCTTACAAAAACAGGAAAAAAACGAAGGCGGGGAGAGTCTGTGGATGCCAAGGATGCCGCCTTTGAGAGAAAACTTATACAAATGCAGAAGGAAAAGGCAGCAAAGGAGGCATTAGAAAAACGAGAAGCCGCAAAGGAAAAACAAAAGGATGATGAAAATAGTCAAAAGAGTAAACGTAATCGTCGTAAACAAATTTCCTTTACAGATAATAAAGAAGAGACAACAGAAGATGCCCCACATAGACCTATGCGTTATCCAAATGATAAGGGATCTAATAAACCCCGTGAGTTTTATGAATTGGTGGATGTTGTGCGGTATGGAGATCGAGTGGAGGCACCGCCGGTGTTTGATGCGGTGCCGCGCCACGATGCCTCCATCACTCGTTTAGCTCAACGACTGGAGAACACAACGAAAAGTACAATAAACCGAAAAGGTACGTCTACTGCGGCTGGGTCATCATCCTTATCATCAAAGGAAGAACGATTAAAACTACTCTCCTCGGTTGGTGGACTTGGAGAACAGAAGCGATTGGAGCGATTGGGTCTCGCACCTGCTGGGGCTGTTGGTCGTGTGAGTACCGCAGGTGGAGCGATGAAACTCTCTAAAGAAGAAGAGATGCGGCGATTACGTGAAGGTGTGATGGAGGCATATCGTCGTAATAGACGAGCAGAGGTGGTATCACGTAAAGGAGTGGACATGCAACACCAATTCCCACTGTTTTCGTAAGGAGAAAAATATATAAATATAAATATATATAAGAAGGGTATAGTTTATATGTACCGAATTTTAATTTCTCCTATACTACTGCTACTTCTTTTTTTACGCTTTTGGAGCTTATTGATGATGGATGATTTTATTTTTTCCCTTTCTTTCTTTGTTTTTGTTTTCTCTCTATGCTGGTGATGGTAAGATGATGATGATGATGATATCTCATCACTCTCTTAGTTGGAGAAAAGAAAAGACAAGATCCCTTTTTTCTGGGATTACCGTGTGAAGAGGGGAATTCATATACTCAGATGTGAACCCCTGCAGAAGTATTCGTGTGAAGAAGATTGAATTGATTTCTAAATCGCTTAATCGGTTCAAAACCGTGAATTCTAAAAAAAAAAAAAAAAAACGTCTAAAAAAAAAAAGAATGAGGAGTAAGTAAAAGAAAAAAGCGAAATATATATATATATATATATATATTATTTTGTTTCCTTTCATTTAATGTAAAGTGATATGTACATATTCTTTATACTAGACTAAAAGCTTTCTTTTTTTCTTTTCTTTCTTGTTTATTGTAAAACTATGTTAAGGGTGAAAAGGAACAATAATAGGTGAGATTATTACATTAACGAAAGGAAAAGAAAAGAAAACAAACAATAAACCCGAAAAAAAAAGAAAACAATACAAAACAGAGAAACATATTTAATCTTCAACAATAAAAAGAAAAAAAGAAAAAAAAAAAAAAAGAAGCAAATATACGAAAACAAAAAAAAAAACAGTATGGAAACCCAATGGCATGAGGTGATTATTCAAAACGATGAGGGTGATAGTTCCTTTGCGAAGGCTGCTCCATTAATGATAGAGGCACTGCAACTATTGGCCTCTGTTCAATCATTACCACTAGCCCTGCGTACAGCCTGTCGGGAATCCGAACTCGTGCAGGCGAATAATACACATATTGTTTATCGAAAGGCACTTGAAGAAGTACGAAGTCTGCATGGTACTTTATCAACTGTTTTAGATTCTGTCTATGGTAGTTTATTACACTTGCAAACTTCAGAGTTTCTCTCTGCTCAACAATATCAACAGCACTCATCACCTTCTCGTAGTAGTAAAAGTGATGGTATTACTACTACTACTACTACTACGATGGGAGAAAATAATGATATCTATACATTACTTCGATGTCAAGATGGATTAATTATCCCGCATGAATTACATATGGATACATTTCTAGCCTCACAGTCTGCCTTTGATTATAAAGTGTTTCGTCTCCAATTTGGAAGAATGTGTCAGTTGATGGCAAATGTGGAACTCTTCTCTGCATGTGAGCCTCGTATTCGAGTTTTACAATGTCGTTATCGTCTTCATCGGGCTTTTAATGGACCACGTGAGGATCGTTTTCACCCAACACTTGGCGCTGGTGGATTTCGTCATGCCCCTAAAGTAGATTTACGCCGGATTAGTACTTGCATGTCTTCTGCTACTTTAGTGGAGTTTATGGAGAAGTTGTTAAAAAATGAACCAAATCTTTTTCTTTCCAGACGTAGGGGATCAAATGGTTCTTCTAGTAAATTGCGGGCTGCACAGGACGATAATAATAATAATAATAATAATAATAATAATAATAATAATAATAATAATGGGAGTATATCCAATAAGAAAGGAGAGAGAAAAGAAGAAGAAGAAGGTCGTGGATCTACACTGAAGGATATGGCGGATGCCTTTTTTGGTCCTTTTATACAACCAGAAGAGCGATACTTTACTTCTGATGGATTAGGTTTACATCCAAACTATACAGAAACCACAGAACGTATATTGGATTTATTTGATAATCGTATTTCCCCATCCCAACCAACAGTTGCCAATGCCATACCACTTCTTCGAGAATTTCTTGATATTAACGGTGGAAATAATGGGGAATTACTTGCCAGACTTGTTATGCCAATGCTTTCAAGAATAGCTGTAGGCGATCATGATTTCTTAGAACTTGAATTTACCATCACTGGTAGAAATACTGGAGAAATAGAAGATATCGCCTCATGGTGTGTTCGTAGTGGAATTGTTTCTTCAGAAAATGTTCAACTTTCATTAAGAATTGTACATGTTCCACTTTCTTCTAATGATATTAATTGTACAGCAAAGAATATGGAAGATGTATTGAAAAATATTTTTTCACCCTTTTGGATGACTCTTTTAAAACCACGAGAATATCCTGAAATGGTGAAATTTCTTAAACGTCTAGTTTCTGTAGCTGTATCTGTGAGTGTGGCTGCGGAAGTGCAGGAAATGCCTACCGTGAATGATCCTAAAGTATATTCTGTAGAGAGTGGTTTAGTTCCACCGGATGCTTTCTTTATATATCATATTTGGCGAAATATTCAATTATTGAATTGTATGGCAACCACACATGTATTTTTTTCCTCAGAAAAAAAAGGAAACTCATCCACAGTATTCACAGAATCTACTACTACTACTACTACTACTAATAATAATAATAATAATAATAATAATAATAATAATAATAATAATAATACTTCTCATACTGCTACTATAGATGGAGAATATGATGCACCTCGTTTTTTCTTACCCAATCATTCCTTATTTCTTCATCATGATCCCATTATGGTACGACCATTACTCTTTCGATTACATGCATCTCCCAGTACGAAGAATTCCTTTGTGGAAAGTGTGATGGGATTACTAGTAGCGGATGAAGTAGTAAATCCTGTAGAAGTTTTCTCATGGAGTCCATTAGCGTATATGTATTACTTAACCCAGCGGAGTATTTTATTAACACCCTCTCGAAATGAAGATGTAGCCCGTGATACTGTACTTCAACGGGCTGTTCCTTTTCTTGTGGAAACGGGTTTAAATGGATCTATTGCCACGTTAGATCCATTACATTATCATTCTAATGATAATGCCTTACATGAAGAGTTTAATGGTTTAGAGAGAACATGTCATTTCACAATAGCCGATATGACGGAGTTATGTTTACACTCGGTAGAAGGTTCTGGTTTAAGTATTAGTAAAAGACATAAATTACTTGGAGGTCCATGGGAAAAAGTACGGGCACGATTTAATGAATTTACAAAAACACAAGTCAATCCTTTACGATTACATTTTCGTGAATCTTCTTTAATTCATGAGATGAATCTTTTATGTCGAAAAGGACTTAATGATGGGACCTTTATGGATTCTGATGATAAAGATAGAGAAGAATGTATAAGTGTATTTTCAAGACTTGTATTCAATCAACATACCTTTTCCTCTTCTAATGCTACTTGGTTAGCCTCTACGGGAATAAAATGTATTTCATTAGAAGCTCAACGAAATACATTATGGCAATTTTTTAATTTACCACCTTATATTGAAAGAGGAGATTTAATTATAAAAGGATTATCTTATCATCATGTAGTGGATCGACAAATTAAATATCCACGTATTGTAATATCTGGTCCTAGTGTTCATGGGAAAAATGAAGTAGCCAGAAGAGTTGCACAGGCTTTTGTAAAACGTCAATACTACAGAAGTTTTAATGTTTACTTTGAACCTCCACCACTAACAACAAATCTGCAAGGAGCACAAGCCGTGAAAGCGTTATTGGCATCCCAAAATAAGAAAGAACCTCAACAGAAAGAAAATAATAATAATAATAATAATAATAATAATAATAATAATAATAATAATAATAATAATAATAATAAACAACATACAACAACAACAGGTATACGTTCATCGTATCAATCCTTTTCATCCTCTTTGAGTCAAGGAGAAAGTCTTATTATTCCAACGGAATTCTCTTGTAAAGATGGAGTTCGAGATGTGGTGGTTTCTTCTTCTACTGTAAATAATAAAACCAAAACATATTTCCGTCCAATTCCATCTTGGAAAGAGTTTCAATATGATGTACGGAAGTTACGTAGTATGTCAGCAGAGAGTAGTTTACAATTATTTGCAAAAAAACGTCTTGGGATGTTGGAATGTAAATTTAATCTACATACCGCTCTTACCAATGATGATCGGGATCATCCCACACATCAATCCTCTCCTTTACGTGAAAAGGGAGATTTATATAAATGTGTAAAAGTAGATGTTCACTGCCATATGGCTGCAGGAATGACGGCAAAAGAACTTCTTCGTTTTATTAAACAAAAAGTTCAAACACATGCGGATGATGTTGTGGATGTGGAACGTGGAACTGGACGTTTGATTACACTTGGTGAAATGTTTGCAAAACTTCGGGATCCACAAAAAATAAATACCGTTGTTAACATTGATGAACTTAGTGTGGCTTCATTAGAAGTAAAAGCAGGGAAAGATACGTTTAATCGATTTGATAAATTTAATGGACGATATAGTCCACTTGGTAATTCATCTCTTCGTTCAATTTTTCTTAAAACAGAAAATTTTATGGGAGGACGTTATTTTGCTGAACTCATACGAGAAACCTTTCATAGACAAAAGGAAGATAAATATACCTTTTCAGAATATAGACTTTCTATATATGGAAGAAATTATAATGAATGGGATCGATTAGCCCGATGGTTTGTTTTACATGGTATGTCTCACCCAACTAATAGATGGATGATTCAAGTACCTCGTTTATATTCTATTTATCGTAAAAATAATATTATCACATCTTTTGAAGAGATGTTATCTAATATATTTGTACCTCTTTGGGAAGTTTCTATAAATCCTGAAGCACATCCATTTCTTAATTATTTTCTTGCCCATGTAAGTGGATTTGATAGTGTGGATAATGAGAGTGAACGGGAAACGGATGAACTTATTGATATCCCACCTTCACAATGGACGTGTAAAGAAAATCCACCTTTTGTTTATTGGGTTTATTATATGTGGGCAAACATTACAACATTAAATCGATATCGTGCCGCTCGTGGTCTTTCCACTTTTGCCTTTCGTCCACATGCAGGAGAAAGTGGAGATCCTTATCATATGGCTGATGTGTTTTTTATTGTAGATGGAGTTAATCATGGGATTAATCTTAATGATTTACCCGTTTTACAGTATCTATACTATTTAACTCAAATCCCACTTGGGATTACACCACTTTCAAATAATGCTCTCTTTTGTAAATATCACGCCAATCCATTCCCCATTTTTTTCCGTCGTGGATTAAACGTAACGTTAGCCACCGATGGGGCATTAACTTTTCATCATACTGAACAACCATTAATAGAGGAATATAGTACAGCGGCTAATTTTTGGAATTTATCACAAGCAGATGTGTGTGAAATTGCAAGAAATAGTGTATTGATGTCTGGTTTTCCTTCCTATCAAAAGAAAAAATGGTTAGGTGAACTTTATCTATTGCGTAGTGCTGCTGGAAATGATAGTAATTTCTCTAAATTACCCCAAACACGTTGTACCTTTCGCTATGAAGTTTATATGGAGGAATTAAAATACCTGCAGGCAAGAGCCGCTGTGGATATACCGTTAAAACCCATTATGGATGAACAACTGGAGGGATTGTATATAATGGATACCGTGGGCCGTACACGTGAAGAAGTGATTGAACAACATTTACGGGGTTTAACGGTTTCTGCAGCTCCAATCGTACAATATACACAAAAAGAAACGGAGACTGGACTTGCAAGTCAAGATCAACAACAACAACAACAAACAACAAACAAGTGTATCACAGCGCCTTCACGACTTTGAGAGAAACTGTTTTTTTTTTTTTT